TCTCATTTTTTAAACTTACAATCTTTTAAGTCAAAACCTCGACATTAGGTCGTTGCATTTTCAAAATCCCTTTAAACTAATATTTTAACAAACAACTAATTTTAATAAACAAATATAATAAGATGTTCCTGTAGAGTACTACAGATGCATTGGGTGCTAACACATTCCCTTTGTATAATCAACCCTGAACTTTAGATCTCTCTATTGCACTTGCTTATACTTCTTACATTGCATATTTACTTATGTGTTTTATTTCGCTCTTTTCCCTTTCCCTTGGAAATAATAAAGAGTGGTGGTGACTCTTGCTTATTTGCGAGTCAATTTAATTAATAGTTTAATCTCTGATTTTCACCGCTACACTCGCAGAGACTCATCTCTTCCCTGGATAATCACTTCAAGTGAAGCTTCTGATTTTAGATGTCGACGGGAGGCGGTGAAATGCCTCGAGAACATCCTCCCCAACTGTTTCCAGGAGGTAATAGACTCGTCCGGGAGGTTTTGGTACCAAGACATTGATTATTTCCTAAGGGTGGTTGGGAAAAGTCTGCACTTGATTGCGCCCTTGACCGCTTGGTAGTCGAGGAGGGCGTCGATATTCTCTATATGTTCATCAGGATCGGTCTTACCAACATATATTCCCAGCGGGGGTGACTTTTCCAGGCCGATTGGGAGTTGGGTCTCTATAATCTCTCTTGATAACAAGCTCCGGGGCTCGTCATCATCGCTTTCCATGGAGGATGGAGACGGGGAGTGATGGTTTCTTCCCTATCGGACAACATTGTCTCATCGGGGAGAAGGACTCCTTTAATGTTATCTTGGCTTGGGCGACGGTGATCGACCGCGATCAACTTGGCAGTCGCTCTTTTCTTCTTGGAGGATGCAGAGCTTTGGTCCTTCATGGGAGGTGTGCGATTGTGTTTCTTGAAGAAAGAAATGTTGCACTTCTCCTTTCTTGGCGGATGAGCACGTCTAGGTGGTGATATGCTGGGGGAATCATGTCGTTGGTGTCTCCGAGGAGGAGACTTTGGCCGCTTCTTCTCCTAGGCCCCTATCTTCTTGTTCTGTTGTAGGATAAGGGCGTTAGTCTGGTTGATGGCAGTGAGCAATGCTGCAATGACCGAGTCGGTGTTGTGAGGAATGGGAACTGATTGCAGAATCTCCGGAAGTTCCTCGGTGGGGTTCTTGGGACGCTTCTCATTTGAGAACTGATGGTCGTCGCGTTGGGTGTCGACTGAATATGGGGACGCAGCCTAGATGTTACAGAAGCCGAGGTTATCCTCGAGGTGAGGATGTTCTTGACTTCTGTCGGTCTTATATGCTGGGGAAAGTGGAGTCTTTCCAGATGGGTGGTGATCATCATAGTCGGCCATGATTATTGAATGAGGAGGATCTTTGGTCTTCAGATTCTGGGGAACAGAAAATGGGGGAGATGGATTCCCACAGATGGCGCCATTGATCTTACCGGTTGATTAGAACCTACAAGGTAGCCATATGATGATCTTTTGTCTGGCTGGAATGTCGAGGAGGAAAAAAGGGGGCTATACCTACAAGGCACTCCAGTGAACAAGTAAGTGTAGGAGCAAAGAAATACAAGCAAAGTATTAGGGTTTTATTGGTGAATAGTGAATATTCGAGTCCGTCAAAATATAAGAAAAGAAATACATGTGTGAGGGTTTATATAGTGCCCCTGGCGCTTGGCCACTGGTTCCTATTTTTGGGCCTAGATATGCGGGTCCGTAAAAATAGGTGACTACCGAGACTTGGTCAAACCGGGAAGGTGTGTCTGCAACTAGCTGTTAGTTCTGAGGAGGGGGTAGATTACGGGCAGTGGTCTGGTCGGTTCCTGGTTGTCCGACTGACTTGAGGTTGGGCAGATTGAGAGACGCTCACCAGATGTCGTAGGTCAGTGTCGGTCCAAGAGGGAAAACAAACGATGGTGCCTGACGAAGGGCGGGTAAACCCGGGCTGTGGTCGTACGGACTGTACCAAAGAAGGAGTTTAGGTTGGGCTCACTCTAGTTGTCGGACCAGCCCAGAACATTACCCATCTTAACCTGATTGTATCTAAAATATGCATCCATGAAACTCAACATTTTTTTATCTAGAGGTTTCATCAATCAAACAATCTATGTGTGGTAGCAAATACAAATCTTTATGGAATGCAATGTTAAGGTCAGTAAAGTCGATGCACATGCGCCATTTTTTGATTACTTTTGTACCAATACTATGTTGTCTATCTAAGATTGATGATTAACCTCAATTATTAAGCCGACACTTCTCAACTTATGAACTTCTTCGTCAATGGTTGTTTTCTTCTCCTTGACCAGCTTGTGTTTCCTCTAAGACTCTGGCTTCATTATGCAATCAATGGAAAGGCGATGGAAGACAACTCTTGTATCTATCTATGCAATATCATAGGGTGTCCATACGAACAAGTATATGTTCCTTCTCAATAGGGCGACCAACTCATCCTCCTCTGAATCAGATAGAGAGGTGCATATCTTGATGACTTGATGGTCCAAATGATCGATAGAAACCTCCTTTAGGTAATCTATGGGAAGAGGGTAAAATTTCTATTCTCTTCCCCTAATTTAGGATCCTACCCGCATCATCTACCTCTTGTGTACTTGGATGAATGATAATGCATGCGGCGACATTCTCCTTTCTCATTTCTGGACAGTTTTATAACACTCGTGTGCGACCTTTTGGTCCTCTCGGACCACTCCAACTCGCCCTTTAGGTAGTGAATACTTCAGGCTCAGATGAAGGGTGGACAAGACCGCCCCTGATAAGTCGAGGGTAGGCAACCATAGGACGACATTGTACAGGGACACAACGTCTACTATAAGATATTTCACTTTGATTATTCTCATATACGTATCTGAGCCAAATATCATTTTGTGCATTATGTGACATTTCACCATACTTATTCGTCTAACAGACCAACCACTAAACATTGAAATGCTCATATGTCACTTGGGTTAAGTTGAAGCCCATAAAAGGGACTAAAAAAAATTACATTTGATGAGCTCCCAAGGTTGATAAATACTCCCTTGATATCCTAATCATCACAACACACAATGATGATCATGGGATTATTGTTATAAGGGAGAATGTTGATGGCATCTTTGCTAGAGAAGGTGATTTCGAACTTTGAATCTCTTTCTAGAGTTTCCTTGGTGTTGGTGGGTATGACGTTTGTTGTAAAAACATGTTTAACATATTTTCTACAATAAGAACTGGATTCTCCACCGCTTGTGAAACCTTATACAATGATGTTGATAGTAATCTCAGAACCTCGGTTTTGCATCCTCAAGGAGAAGGTAACGAAAATGAATGGTGATTGATGGCGAGTGTGACTTAGGCCAATTTTACTGGGCCCTATGGTGGATGCCATGTGACAACCCCTTGTGGTGCATGATTATCAGATGTTTTTAGGGTTATTGCAGTAATAGAGTAAAGTTATACATGGATGGTAAGAAGTTATGTATATTGGTGTTTTACGAGTGAGTTGAATGTTGTACTTACTAAAAATGCAATATGTGACAAGCCTTTATGGTTAAGGGTTGTTAGAGGTTTTTAAGGTTGTTGTTTTGTTAGAGCAAGGTCAACAAGAATAATAAGAGACTATGTTTATGATGTTCTTCAGAGAGAATTGAATACCATTCTCAACCTTAAAATTAAGCTCAACATTGGAGTTAGGATATTTATAGGAACCTCCTAGGCTCAGATATTAGACTCTAAGTAACAACACTCTTATATATGAGGAGTGTGGGAGTACGAGGGGTTATTCCCTCATTCTTCCCTCATTCTTTTGCAGAATACACCCCTCATATTTGACAATCTCTCTTACCATTATTGAGTGTAGACACGTTGCTCCCTTATTTTTCCAGGTGGGTGACCAATCCGATGAAAGAGAGATTGTTTGAGATGAAGAACGCTCGTTATAATAAATGAGCGAACAATAAAAACAAATGGCAACTATGAGTCATGCTTTAGGTAATAGATGTTATTCACTTGCTTTTAGTGAATATTACTTCTCCTCCTATATATTCTTTATAAATATAATATAACCGTACAATTTTTAATTTTTTATTCAGTTTAATTCTTTATAAATAGTTTTATTTACGAATAGTTAAGAAATTAAGTTAAATTAAAACATGATTAACTTAATATTTCAAACGATTTTATCAAAAGAGTCGGTATATTTAGAGCATCTCTAATGGTGCAATCCATTTTTGGGTTCTTTGTGGGATCCATTAAGATAATTCATCTTAAAGCAACTAATTTAATTTTCACTTCAACTGTACAACTCTAAAGAACTTATATTAGGTCCCACAATTTTATTTTATATATTAATATTTTATTCATATTAAATTTTATTTTATTTAATATAATAATTTTAGTTTTAATTAATATAAAATAAATAAAATTAAAATTAAACATAAAAATTTAAATGATATTAATTTTGAAGTTTAAAGATGAAAATTTGGACAAAATATATTGTCAAATGAAGGCTAATGAGAAGAAATTGTAAGAGAAAAATTTAAAAATTAAGAGTAAAATAATAAAATTCTGAGAGACAAATTAAAACTTCAGAGAAAATAAAAGCGTGAAAGAAAATTTGTGTGTAAAATATTTCAAATAAGATATTTATAATCAATTAAAAGTGTTTAAAAAAAGAAAGAAAAAAAAATAGCCATTGTTAATCTATACTTTAAATCATATTATTTTTTATTTTCAAGAACCCTTGCATTGCACTATGGTTGGCCAAGCTGACCAACTCCAATGGTTAAAAATCAGAAGACTACTTTGCCACCCTGGAAAACCAAAGAAAAAACCTCCGCTGGAGGTACTCTTAGAAAAGTGAAATCTATTTGACTTTTGCACCCTAAGAAAGACTCACTCAAGTCAGCAACCGTGGTGGCATTGGTAAAGCTTGCCTCGCCTTCAACCGGACCATCTCTACCTAGCCTAGGGATTATCATTCTCATTCCTCTGATGCTCCACTCGAATCACCACCGTTATTGGTTTCTCCTTCCGCCGCAAGGGGTTCTCAACTGCCCTATCGACCGGAACCTCCAAACAACTGTCCTGCGGCCACTGTTCATCACACCTTGGTCGGTGAGCATTCTCTCAGGAGTTTTGAAGAGTGCAGTGGAGTCACCACTCAGTCAACCAAACATTTCGGCTGCAGAAGCATGGAAACGACATAACCAAACATTTTGTTATTTTTACAAAATATTATTATACAAAATGGGTTTATCATGTAAAAAGACTAGACAAAGTATTACATTTCACCATATCGATGATAAAGCCTTTTAAATAAAGTTTTTAATGTGTTATTTGTACGTAAAGTTTGTGTGTATGTTTTAGTTGGCAATCCTATTTCAAGGTAGTGTGTGTTGTGTGCTAGAATAATTTATGTTATAGCAATTTGTGACCAAACAATAGATGATGAAATGAACACCGGTCAAAAAATGGTAAAAATTATAACAAACTAAAACTAAGCAAAAGGTGGCAGAGAGATATAGGTCCTTCTTTGTCGGAGATCATTGAGGAAAGACAACAACGGTTCCTTTCGGATTAGACTTTTAGTGTGCACCATGTTTTTCTTTTCTTTTTGTTGAGAATCCCTGTTATTCATCATATCAGGTATCTTTTCTTTCATTCATCATCAATAAAATAAAATATAAACAAAAAAAATTGTCTTGCTTTTAGTTTCCTTTTCAACTCTAAAACAAACACTTAATTCCCGAATTTCTCAATCATTGGGTATCTTCTTCAACCCTTCACAGGTGGGAGTAGGAGAATATATACTAATGATTAGTAACTCGGTTTTAAGATTTTATATTTTAGTTTGAAAATGTTGGTTGATTGCAAATGCAAGCATCTTTAATTGACACATTTAGATTTTTACCATAACATAGCCTTTTCAAACATGTATTTTTATTTTCAGGGGTCCCCAACCATTGATTAAAAGTGGTGCTTCCGGCGGCGTGTTCATTTTGGACGTAGGACTTTTTGGCCGGAACCCTAAAAGATCTTATTCATACATGTATTTGTGAGAAGATAAAAAGAGAGTAGGAACAATGTCTTCCGCTAATAACTCCTCGCCGGATAACTCTTCACCAGATAATTCCACACCCGATAATAGCACCCCTGATGATGCTGATAACTCTTCTTCACCACCAAAATCCCCACCACCACAATCTCCACCACCACAATCCCCACCACCACAATCTCCACCTCCACAATCCCCACCACCATCACCACCTGCACAATCCTCTCCTCCTCCTTCACAATCAACTCCTAATCAACCACCACCATCACCTTCACAATCAACTCCTAATCAACCACCACCATCACCTTCACAATCACAATCTTCTCCTCCACCACCAACATCAAACAATCCATCCCCATCATCACCAAATTCATCCTTTAACCCACCAACGCAGGCAGGAGGCCGTTCTTCACCAGGCTCCCCTGGATCCGGAAATTCATCGTCGTCCCAACAAAAATCATTACCAAATTCATCACCCGGGCGTTCCAATGGTAATTACGACATCAATAATAGTGATACCACTAAGGCAATAATTGGAGCAATGATTGGGGTGGGAGGTGTTCTTCTCATTATGGTCATCGCATGCATTTTTTTCTCCCGGAAGAAAAAAAGAAAGCAAATGTACTATTATGGAGATCATCCATCTCATGGAAAAGGTGCTAAAATCATAACTCTCATTTAGTTGTCATATATTTGCAACCGTCCTAGAGGGAATTGAACTATGAGACACCATTTTTATTCCAATAGAAGTTAACTTCTATTACTAATATCCTCTTTCTCTCTTCGACATTTCATATTATCTATATTCTACTACTAATATTTCTATATATAATATAGGGAATAACAACTATTACAACAATGGGCCACCCCAAAATTATTATGGAGGTCCGCACGGGGAACACGTTGTTAGGCTACAAAATGGAATGGGTCCCAACGGAATGGGTCCTAACGGAATGGGTCCTAACGGAATGGGTGGAATGGGTCCTAATGGCGGCGGTGGCGGTGGTGGTGGTTGGGGTGCAGCTCCTATGATGATGAACAGTGCAGACATGAGCTCAAATTACTCTGGTGGGCCACCAGCTTTGCCTCCTCCATCACCAAGTCTTGCTTTAGGGCTTAAAGGAGGCACATTCACTTATGAGGAATTGGCAGCCGCGACTGATGGATTCACTGATTCAAATTTGCTAGGACAAGGTGGTTTTGGTTATGTCCATAAGGGTATATTACCTAGTGGAAAGGAAATAGCTGTCAAGAGTTTAAAATCGGGTAGCGGACAAGGAGAACGAGAGTTCCAAGCTGAGATTGACATCATTAGTCGTGTCCATCATCGCCATCTTGTTTCACTTGTTGGATATTGTATTTCTGGTGGCCAAAGAATGTTGGTGTATGAATTTATTTCAAACTACACATTGGAGTATCACCTTCATGGTAAGTAAATTGCGGCTACAATTCAAACCTTTATATTGCCAAAAAATGATGGAAATGCGGCCAATGCAGTTGAAATTGCTGTCACGATTTAAGGAGATTTCAAAATATGCAATACTGTGTTCTGTAGACCAAAGTTTAAAACTGTTTACTACGCTGCTTGAGTATTCCTTGTTAATGGACTTAGTTTATGGTCAATGCAGGAAAGGGTCGACCTACCATGGATTGGCCAACTAGAATGAGAATTGCAATTGGTTCTGCTAAAGGGCTTGCCTATCTTCACGAGGATTGTGAGATCCTTGCTCCCTTAATTGTTATGATCTTTCTCTTTTTATTTTTTCGATTTATTCTCATATTCTATATATTTTTGCATATGCACTCAGGTCATCCTCGCATCATTCATCGTGATATCAAAGCTGCAAATGTCCTCATTGATGATAGCTTCGAAGCAAAGGTTCAACCTTTTTATTTTATCTATTTCAACTATTTTATTTTTACCCCTCATGTTAATGAACTTTGATTGCTTAAGCTAGATAATTAGTTAATTAATCCATCATTGCATTTTAAAATGTAGGTTGCTGATTTTGGCTTGGCTAAGTTGACAACCGATAATAATACTCATGTATCAACTCGTGTCATGGGGACTTTCGGGTAATTTTTGTTTTCCACACTTGTTTATGTTATTAGTTGTATCAACTTCAAAAAAAATGAAAGGTTCTTTCTTTTCTCATTATATATAAAACACGGTTTGCTTCATGCTAACTTAGGTACCTAGCCCCAGAATATGCATCAAGTGGAAAATTGACCGAAAAGTCCGATGTTTTCTCATTTGGGGTCATGCTATTAGAACTTATAACTGGAAAGCGACCTGTGGATGCCACAAATGCCATGGAGGACAGCTTAGTGGATTGGGTTGGTATTTGATTTCAAGTCGATGATAACTTATTGTATGATAATTTTCTTAATCTCAATTAACTTTTGGGTTATTACTTAATTGTGATATCTTCAGGCTCGACCACTACTGAACCGTGGACTAGAGGAGGATGGAAACTTCGGTGAGTTGGTGGATCCGTTTTTGGAAGGAAATTACAATCCTCAAGAACTCGCCAAAATGGCAGCCTGTGCTGCTGCTAGCATTCGTCATTCTGCCAAGAAGCGTTCGAAAATGAGCCAGGTAAACTCTTTTTGATCGAAAGTTAAATACTAATTGAGTGTGATATGTTGATTGAATAACGGAACCACAACCTCATTATAAATCTACCTAAATGATTCCGTCAATAAATAATTTGTCATATCATCACTTTTTGGTTTTTGACTTCCTGTATAGATTGTAAGAACATTGGAAGGAGATGTCTCACTGGATGACTTGAAGGAGGGAATGAAAGCAGGGGGCCTCCCTGCTCATACCCCTTCATCTGGTAGCTCAGAGTACGACACAATGCAGTACAATGCTGATATACAGAAGTTCAGAAAGGCGGTGTTTAATAACAGTCAGGAATATGGCACCAACAGTTTCTCCAGCGGCGAAGCACCAAAGCCAAAGCCATAATAATAATTGCTTTAAGGTGTTGTTGATCTTACACGTGGAAGGAATTAGAGGGGGCAAAAATTCGAAAGGGGTTGCTTTTGTTTAATATGTATTGCTTTCTTGTCATGGGAAGTAATAACATCTCATTTGATGGAGAATCTGAGCTTGAGGCTCTGTTTCTGAGTGTGAGTGTGTTGTTTAAGGCATAATTTTACGCCACGGTTACGTATACTTCTTTAATTTGTTCACTGTTTCTTATATTATGTAATGTAATATGATTATTGTGTGCTCAAATAAACATAGACATATCTTGAAATGGATTGCATAAACATACCTATAGTAACAGTAATATGGTATAATTTAGTGATAGTGCCAAAGTCCTTTTTTTTGGACATATGCAACACTCTAATCCATCTATTTATTATATATAACATTTTGCAATTTCTCTTTATATCCTTATACAATAGTGGAATGTAACTCAAAGTGGAAAAGCTAAAATATCTTTAGAGATATATCTCCAGATAGATTAAATTTTATTTTTTTGCAAAAATTTAATTCAGAGATATCTCTAAATTTACCTCAAAAAAATTCGGAGAGTGCTCTTTAGTAGAGATTTTTTAAAAGGATTTTTTCGATATTGAAGAATTATAAAATAGAATAAAGTTAAATGAATATTTTAGAAAGTTTGTTATTTGTCGTCTTCTTAGATGCTTTGCTATTTTAAAATATTCTATTAATAGTAAATTTATTATAAATATATCTGATTATTTTTGAATTTTTAATATTTATAATATTATTTTTTTAGATTATTTAATATTATTTTTTTGATTGGCCAATCTCTTAATATTGGGGTAAAACAAATTTAATTTTTTTTGGACAAAATACCTTTTATTTTGGAAAAATATTCCAAATTTTTTGAATTAGTCTGAATTCAAACTCAGGCCATCTCGATTATAAATAGTAGGAAATTACCATTACACCACTTTAATTACAATTGATATTTATTATTTCAAATCAATTTTACTCATTATATAACATGAACTTAATCTCGATTTGTCTTGAATATTCTTTTGTTTTAAATTTCTATTTTGAAGCTAAAGGAGTGTGAAGAAAAAATGATAGGCTTAAGCAAGGAAAGAGAGAATTGGGTGGACGATTCAATATATTATTATGTATTAAATAGTCATCAACTCTGCTTGCTTAGACTTAATATTTATTGGTGGGTTGTGATGCTTCAGATGCTTGCTGGTCAAATTTGATCGATGAAATACAAATTACATATATGGTTTTCTAATACAACCTTTTGATTGTAAATGATACCAACTGCAATAATCGAGTTTTCTTTTTTTGATCATTATGATTATGATGTCAAGAAAGAATTTTGGTGGACAATAAGGAAAGAGCACGAGAAAAGCATTATAGTTTAACAAATGATGATTTTTGAATAATAATTATATTGTAGTTAATTTATATTTATTATTTATTCATTGTTGTTAGGAATGATGGATTTGAAACAAACTATTCCCAAATTTTCATGTTGAATTTGGTTTTTCTATTCTCTCTGTAAATAAAACAAAGCTCGGAGAGTAAAAGAGATGGAACATGGAGATGGCAAGTCACCCTCCAATTTACAACAAATTGGTAATGCAAATTTTATTTTTGTTTTGAAGAGAAAAATAAAAGAAATTTATTAAACATGAAACAACTTTAATCAGTATTTTATTAAGCCAAATTCTAAAATTGTTTGTGGCAAGGCAACAGACAAGACATCAATTTCAATGCTATTGTGTTGATAGGAATTTAAAGATAATCTATTTAAGTTTAACTAACATGTAAAAAATATGTAAAATCACATAAATAATTAATATGAATATTGATTTAAATTTGGTTGAGTATATATATATATATATATATATATATATATATATATATATATATATATATATATATATATATATATATATATATATATATATATATATATATATATATATATATATATAATTTTTGAATTTTTTTTAGCAATAATCAAATATTGAAGAAAAAAAATACACAAATAATCATATTTCGGGGAAAATTACGCAAATAATCATGTTTCAGAAAATTCCACAACGGAGGAGTCAAGTGAGATGGCGCATGCACTTAAAATTAAGGAGGAGGCGTCAAACGAGATGGCACCTAGGTGCAACATGTTTTCCCTAAGCCATCTTAGATGGTGTCTAGGTGTAATTGAAGTGCAATTTTTTTTTGCTTTCCATTTTAAATACGAGACAATAGGTAAACGATATAGCTTCACGAAACTTCGACTTTTCATTAACAAAAAACGATTACATAATGAAAAAAACCATACATATTAATTAGTGATCCCCCAGAACTCGGTAACAACCTGTGGTTCCGCATCCGCGTTCTCGCCTATCTCGGGGTGGGTTTCGTCGATTTTTCTGTTGCGGTTGGGTCGATGGGCCGGCGAATTTAATGCGTTCAGGATCCATGAAATCAGTCAGATCACCATATATGAAAGATCCGCTTTGGTACAGTCGGTTACCCATGCCCTCAAAGTTTGGTCATCTTGGTGGGGGTGGGATTCCATGGATGGTCTATAGCATTGGTCATCTGAGTAAGGGGAGTAAAAAGGAAATGAATCTTGGGGTGTTTGGTATTGTAATTGTTGAGTGCTATGGTGATGTGGTGGTTGATGGTAAGTTGGGTCAGTTGGGTCATATTCTTCGGGAAATCTCAGTCAGGGCTAAGGTGAGATGATGAGGGGCCCATATTGAGATATGGAGAAGACTGGAATTGTATGTGGAGCATGTGAGTATATTGGTATTGCGATTGAGATTGAGGTTGGGTGTGAGGCATATAGGGGTATTGGTATTGAGGTGGTGATTGTGGTTAGGAGTGGGGCATATGGGTGTATTCATATTGAGGTGGTGATTGGGGTTGGGTGGTTGTGGATCTATATCGTCGGGATGGTTGGTGGGAGGTTGATGTGTGTTGGGTTTGTTGTCGGGGATTTGAGGTTTGTGTTCATTGTGTTCGTGAATAAACCAAATACCTTAGATGAGACACGTGCATTTCTGAGTTACTAACCGATTTGTACCAATCAAAATATTGATCCGTGTGTCGCATATTATTCTCGTTGAGGGAAACAGGGAATTGCAAGACATGTTAGTGACGCCTATGCCACATCTTACACCATTCTGGGGCAAAATATTTCCAATTAGTAAGACCTCATTGGGCGTCGACCCTTTTGAGATGCCATGGAGACAAACAAGTTAGATTGTATGGTATCTCTTGATGCATTTCGTATGATTGCAGTCTTTGCAGTCCAAACTGCTGCATCCTCGGGGTTTGGTTCATGGTCCAAACTCAAATATGACCTCTAGATAAACTGTGGATAAAATTAAATCAGCATAATGAAAACGTAAAAAATAAATAATTTTAAAATAGAAATATTCAAAGGTACCAGGTATATCATCCGGGCCAAGGTGATCTAATAGATTACAATATAGAGCGACATTGAATCTTAGATTCTTGTTGTAATTCATACCTGTCACGCAGTACCTAAAGGAATTGTAAAATAGTTTATTTTAAACATATATTTGGCGAAAGGATGAATAATAAATGATTTAAGTTCTTGACTTAGTCTGCTGCATATGGGAAAATGAATGCGTTGTTGTTGACGAGGTTTAGGGACTCCATTCTCCACCAACCCCAGGCTTGGAGTAAGAAAACGCATCCATAAAAAGTACATTTATCCTTTGTTGCATTTTTACACAAAGAATTGTATAGATGGGCTAAAACAGTAGAACCCCAACTGTACTTTCTTGTTTTTTCAAAGTTCCTAAACAAACTTAAATACATAAAATTTACATTATTCTCTGTACTTTCGAGAAATAACAAGCTTCCAAATAGTATCATCATATAATTTCTAGCTTTTATTACTCTTGCTAGATCGCACGAATTTTCATTTAACTCAAGAGTCGCATAATGTTTTTTGAGTTCAGTTAGTAATACACCTTGGCCTCTAGCACCACTATCTTCTACCATATCTTTGCCCAACAATTTTTGCATAGAGAGTTGGGTTGTTGAACTGACCCGTTAACCTCCTTACCATCGATAGGGAGACCCAATAACATGTACACGTCCTCTAGTGTGACGGTACATTCACCTATTGGTAGATGAAATATGTGTGTCTCGGGTCTCCACCTTTCCAACATTACAAGTATAAACTTGGAATCAATCGTGCAATTTGAGATTTTTATAACATTTCCAAAACTCGCATATTCGAGAAAGGGCACGATCAATAGGTCGGGAGCAATGTAGTTGTGTGAGCGAATTCTAAATGTTTTAGTATCCTAAATTCAAAATTTAAAAAATGTAAGAGTCCATAAGATGAATAAATAAATAATAATTTTATAATAATATATATATTAATATATGTTGTACCCCGAAATTTGTCCTCCCTTTTTCTCAAGATATTTCTCACAAAGTTCTTCAATGGCTCAAGCTTGCACAAGTGTTAACTGGGCTAAATCACCTCCTAGCACTGAGACCACAAATTAGGGTTTTTATTTTCATAAGGAAATTTTGAATTCTAAGGCTTCAGCTGAATTTCATGGTTTATTATAGACCTCCAAGAATACTCATGCCAAGTTTCAAGTGTTGGATCACAAATTTGCTCAGTCAATTGATCAAATGATTGAAAATTAGATGTATTGGGTAAAGAGTCAACTGTGGTCAACCCATATTCAAACTTCAATATTTTTGGCCAATGTTAACATTTTGAAGTCATATTCATCAATTGATCAAATTTGGATCACAATTCCTCAAGAAAAGTGTCTAAATCATCAAAGGGGCAAAATGGTCAAAATTAGAGTTTTGACTGTAATTAACTAATCAGTGACTTTTGACCTAATACATGATCTAATGGTTTGAATCACAATCTCAAAAATTACAATACAACATGTTGACCTAATTTCATGGCTCAAATAATCTTGGCTTAAATGCAGTTTTGACCC